GACGCTCTTGTGGACCCCACGTACAGCGACGGCACCAGCCCTCTGAACACAAGGCTGTGCCTGGCCGGAGACTCGTCACTGCACAACCAGTCGAACAACTCGGTCTTGATCTCAGGCACAGCCACTGACACGATGGGAATGCCCGGCATGTACTTAGCCACAAGCCTAGCCGTGCTGCCTCCCCTAGTGAGGACCAGAATGAGAGAGGCTTGGGCCGAGTTCGCGGTTCTGATCGCCGAGGAGGCGAGTGACTCGAGCGGGCTCATGGGTACCGGAGAATGCCGCATGATCCTCTTGAATACGTCTCCATAGTTGATGGTGCTTTCAACTTCAACACATATCTTTGCCATTGTACGGACAGCAAGCTCAGGGTATGCCCCTGTCACGGTTTCACCGCCGAGCATGATGCAGTCCGTGCCATCGAGGACCGCGTTGGTAACGTCCGTGGCTTCTGCCCTCGTGGGTCGGGGGAATTTGATCATGGACTCGAGCATCTGAGTTGCCGTGACCACAGGTTTGCCCTGGATGTTGCACTTGTAGATCATCACCTTCTGGGCTAAGAATATCTTCTCGATCGGGATTACCATACCGAGATCGCCTCACGCTGTCATAAACGCGTCTGAGTTCATCAAAGTTCGTCACACCTTCTTGGTTTTCAACCTATTGGATGTTACAGGAAGTAAAAGATGGTAAGAAATTTCTCGAGCTACCACTAGGCAGCAGAGGAATGGGAAAAGAGCTTGATGAAAATATTTGGAACTTACCTTTGACATGAGAAGGATATTTTTGGCATGTTTCCCGATTAGCTTTCAGACCTCAACAAGGTCAGAGCCTTTTCTGACAAAAGACAGAGCTATCATATCGATTTGATTGGGAACTCCCCCATCCAAGAATATCTTCCTTATCTTTCTCGGTTAGTGTCAGAAGATCGACCGCCACACCCGAGGGATTGACGTTTTTTCCTCTCACCAAGCATTGCAGAGTTCTCACATCAGCAACGGACCAAACCATTTTCTTTGTCACAAGAGAGGGCAGTTAAGGAGATGGTACCGTCAGCACAGAGTATGACCATGCCCGGCTTGACATCCTCTGCCAACTTCTTGTAACTCATGCAAATCATGTTCTCGTCACCCTTCAGGTCCTAGTCGGAAGATTTGGTGATTTCTTGGCCTTGCTTCAACTGGATACGTTTCCTTCCTGTAAGAAGCCAGTTCGAATTTCTGGACCCTGTAAATAAAGTAGAAATCTTTGTTAACATATGCAGTGATGAAAGGTAGAACACAACCTAAGGTTCCAACTGAAGGCATTTACAAGAAAATACTAACGGTATATGAGAAGGAAATCGACCAACTTTCCATTCGATTGTCACTGATTGTGTCATGTATGTTGATTTAATACAGTAAATTTGATTAGGTAAACATTGATAAGAATCAGATGTGAGAACATAGATCGAAGAAAACTGGAACTGTGTACAATGAACACGGATCCTAGTAAACAAGAACGAACCCAATTCCGGCTACATCTTCTCCTTCGCACCATTTGCAACTTCACTGGCTATATACAAAACCTGTCACACGTCCTCTAGAATAGATTCTATCTTCTTCCAAAAGGAGAGTTGTCTTGGTGAACACAGAGACTGACATTGAAACAGCACAACAATGCCTTTATCGGGTCAGAATTCGGACACCAAAACAAGTTCTGCATTATGTTTCAACAGGTGTCTGTAGCTTTGCCCATAAAGAGCGACCCTTTTCAACTCAAGTGTTCTAATGAAAGCTCTAAATGGTGACAACTCTAACACCACAAAACAGAGATGATATGTGGTGAAAGTGGATCTATAGATTATGGAGAACACAAATCAAGAATTTCAAGAGAGAAATTATAATCCTTGAATGCAAAATCACCAAGCGTCTCAGTAAACAGAACTCTGGAAGCATCCACCACTCATTTCGCAGAGAAAATTGCATAAGCAGACAAAATTGTTATCCTTACCAAAGACAAAGATTAAGAACAAAAGAGAAGAAACAGAGAAAGACCCAAGTTTCATCAGACGAAGAGAAACCGACGAGAAACGAAACAAAAACAAGAAAACCCTAGAAATTTCAGATCGGCGACAGATCAATAGCATAACAACAACTCCACTATAAAACAGAAGATACGGATAAGAAACGACAGAAATATAACCAAAATCAGAAGAAAAACCCATGCATATGGAGTGTTTACCTTGGTATCGACATGACGGCACAGAGGATCCCGGTGTTGGACATGGCCTGATGGAGATTATCGAGGGTCTTCTGGTGATAAGCGTGGGATCCATGAGAGAAATTGAATCGAGCGACGTTCATGCGGGCACGAAGAAGCTTCTCGATCATGGGAATGGATCTGGAAGCGGGACCGAGGGTGCGTGCAAACGATCTTCGTCTTGGGTCTCCGCTCCATCACAGCCACGCCTCCGTCCGTCATCGCAGCACCAGAGCCGATCACGGGCTCTACGGAGAGAGATCTGACTTGGAGAACAAGGCAAAAGAGAAGATCGAATCAGGAAAAAAAACACAAGACTTTTTTTTTTTCCATTTTCAAGCCGAAGGGGAGAAAAACGTCGCCCCGGTCAAGGAAGATCGGTTAGACCGGTTCAGTGCTCCCCCCGGTTTAGTTGGTTTATTTCCTATTTATGTACATACATACGAGCATAATTCACGTTGCGGAAAATGAAAGGAATCAAGGAGTTACTAAAGAGAGAAAGGAAAGGACTTTTAATAATGTAATGAAGAAGAAAACTTACCAAATGAAGAAAGTAGAGAGAAGGGAAGGACCCTTCCATTTCCATGCATGCCTCCGTTTCTTTTTTCTTTTTCTCACACTCAAAAATTAAAATTTTCTGATTTAATATAATATTGGTCCAAAAATTAATTAATTATTCCCATAGAAAAATAAAATCATAGGAAAAAAAAAACAAATGACTTCGTCTCTCTCTCCTTCTTCACGCCGCCTACCAAATATAAACCCCGCCACTCTCTCTCACTCTCTTTGCATTCTCAATTCCCTCTCTCTCTCTCTCTCTCTCTCTCTCTCTCTCTCTCTCATATTGTTGATTTTTATTTTCATTTTATGTTTTTTTCCCTCTTTCGGGTGATTGCATTTCTTTTTCTTCTCAGCTTGTGGGTGGTTTTTTTTTTAGCATTTTTCTCTCTTTGCGTGTGTGAGATTTTTCTCTTTTGATCACCGTAGCGATGGATATTATATTACAATGCCTCTGTAATGGCGGTTCTCCATCTCACCAGTATCGCTTTCTCGCTTCGTTCGTCTCTTTCCTTTTCATCTAGCTTCTTTGCGTAACCGCGTGATTTTCTCTTCAGTGGGTTTTCTCCAAGTTTGGAGATTTAATCGGAAAGATCGAGTTTTTTCCTCCGCGATTGTGAGTTTCTCTCTCTCTCTCTCTCTGTGATCATCGTATTTTTTCTGGGTTTCCCAAGTTCTACGTTCTAACGGACTGATCCCTTCTCAGATTGTATCTTCTCTTAGGCGATCCTGAGGGTATTTGTCCGATATTTGCTCAATTCTGGTGTCCCCTCTTGTCCGTACAGTGACGGAACCGGTGATGTTCGTTTGTCTTTGATCAATCTGGTTGTCATGAATTCTGCATCTTAAATCCAAATTTGATTTCTTTCGTTCCGTCCCTCGATTTGACGATTCATGTATCTTTTGCCAGTATGCTTCTTCCAAGTGACCAGAAAGTGATCTCAGGAAGGTCTCCATAAAACGTCTGCAGTTGTTTCGCATGTTTGATCACACATGCATGTCGAAATCTTGCTAAGAATTATCAGTATAGTCGAGTGATCCAGCTTGCTTATGACACTGGCTTGTGTTTGTTCTCAAGATTTTTCAATTGAAATGCGTACAGAAAAGTAATTCTAACTCTAAGTTTTCAATATGTTGAATGATCATCCCACCTACCTCTGTTTTGTATTTAGTTTAGATCCTTTGGACAGGCTTTGTGATGCTGGAGTTTTGTTTGTTTTCCAGATTTGTCTTGTATTCTACTCTCTCTCTCTCTCTCTAGAGTTTCTTTTTTGACGTTTTGTCTCTGCAAGTTGTTTTCAATGGTTGATAGTTACTTGCAGCTAAGTCGTTGCCAAGTGTTCTTGTTGCTAGCTTCCTGACTTCTGCCATTGAAACGCGTTTGTTGCAGAGGTCAAGGGCTTTCTGTGAAACTGAGGTTCTGGCATTAGGGTTTTCTCAGGTAGAAGAGCAGAAATGGAGGGAAGAAAAGTAGAATGTGATGAATTGGAGAAGCTTCTTGGAGAGATACCAAAAGTGACTTCTGTGAACAACAAGATGGTGCCTTTATGTGTGAGCTCCTTCAAAAACATAAATTCAGATGATGGAGGAATGCAAAGGATCAAATGTGATGAATATCCTATCAAGAAATCTCAGCTTGAAGAGGCAAATCTTCCTGATGAACAGGCCTTTACATCTGCCTTCGCTGATGCAGCCAAAAACTTTGGGAACCCGAGGGAAACAACTGTACCTACGGCGGAAAATTCTCGTCTGTTATTTTTTCCTTCTTACCCATTTGACAAGTTTGACACAAGAAAACACGACCCACAAGTTTTTTGGAGGCTGCAACCATTCGGGTACCTTCAGAACTACCCTTCCGGTGTTCATACTCTCCAAGGTGGTGTTCAGTTTTGTCGGACCATGCAGGTCCCGGGCTTGGAGTTCAATGTGTTGTCTGATCAGCCACAGTACTTGCCAGCCTCACAGCCTCATTCTCACCATCTACCACTGAATCAATCTCATATGAGTTGGAGAAGTATCGAAGAGGGGAAGCTTCAAAGGCTGAAACTCCCAGAAGAACCATATTTAAGGATGAACCCGCATTTTCACTGTCTTAATAATCTGAGGATGGATGCTTCTAGCAAGTTTATGGGTCCAAGACAGGAATATTTTGGCAGTTTAGATTCTCACCAAGCTGAACACACGACTGGAGAATTGTTTTGGGATGAAACTGGAGGTATGAAGGATTTGGATCCAATGAGAAGAACGGGTTATCCAGAAAAGATGATGATGAGATCACAAGTTGGATTGAACACGGGCAAAGCCATGAAGTATGGATTAAGAGATGAATCACGTAATAACGTCACGCATAATGAAAGACTTTGGTCGAACAATCAAGTTGATGACTCGCTTTCATGGGATTTCTTTAGCACGATGAACCTCAAAAACAGCAATCTAAGGATGCAGCATCAAAAGTACAACTCTCTCACAGAAGCAAGAGGAAAAATATATTCCATGGCAAAGGACCAACACGGTTGCCGCTTCCTACAGAGAAAGTTTTCAGAGAGAAACACTGAAGATATCGAGATGATCTTTCGTGAGATCTTCAACCATATCACTGAGCTTATGATAGACCCTTTCGGTAATTACTTGGTTCAAAAGCTACTTGAGGTTTGCAATGAGGATCAGAGATTCCAGATTGTTCATTCCGTAACTAGAAAACCAGGAGAGCTTGTTAAAGTTTCATGCGACATGCATGGGTATACCTTCTCTCTATGTGAATACATACCATCATGTGTGTGCTTACAGCATCTGAAATCGATGTTTCATGAGCAGGACTCGAGCCGTTCAGAAGATCATTGAAACGGTGAAGATGCCAGAGCAGATTGCTATGGTGGTTTCAGCCCTGAAGCCCGGTATAGTGACTCTGATCAAGAGTGTGAATGGTAACCATGTTGCTCAACGGTGCTTGCAATACTTGTTACCTCACAGTGGCAAGGTAAGATTCTACTGAATATACATTCTCATGGATTTATGCACGTTTTTTGCAGACCCTTTTGTGAAAGATTAATAGAAGCTAATTGCAGAATTGATTCATCATTCCCCTTTTTTCAGTTAATTTTCGAAGTTGCAATTACTCATTGTGTTGAGCTTGCGACTGACCGCCATGGCTGCTGTGTTCTTCAAAAGTGCATTGGCCAGTCAGAGGGTGAGCAGAGGCAACTTTTGGTCTCTGAAGTCACTTCGAATGCTCTTCTCCTCTCCCAAGATCCTTTCGGGTATTAGCTTCTCTCTCACACTCTTGTCTGTCTCCTATTCTCTCTCTCTCTCTCTCTCTCTCTCTTTCTCTCTCTCACCGGCAATAGCATTGTTCCGATTACATTGTATAATTATACGTGTAGGTTTCTAAGGTACATCGGACTTGTTTTAGGTTTTCATTGATGTGATACAACATTGGACTTGTTTTAGGTTTTCATTGATGTGAAATGTTGTATCGTTTGCAGGAACTACGTCCTCCAGTTTGTTTTCGAACTTCAGCTTCAGTGGGCGACCTTAGAAATTCTCGAGCAGTTAGAGGGCAACTACACAGACTTGTCCATGCAAAAGTGTAGCAGCAACGTGGTCGAGAAGTGCTTGAAACAAGCCGACGAGGAACACCGTTCTCGCATTATCAGAGAATTTGTAGATGATGGTCGGCTTGATCAAGTTATGCAAGATCCGTACGGAAACTATGTAATCCAAGCAGCCTTGAAACAATCAAAGGTATTTAACAAAACTCTTGCAGTCTTACTCCTCTGGGCAAAGAGCAAAATGAGTGAACAACGCTTCTTCAGCATGAGAAGTTATGGAATCTGGATTTCGGTGTAGAGGTCATTGTTCTTGGTAGATGCATACACTTGGTAGTCGTTTCATGAAATCTGCCTTTGGTTTAGGTTGTTTAAGCTGAAAGTTGAAATCTTTCTTGAGAGGTGGAATGATATGAAGCTAATGTACATGAACTTGCTGAGCAGGGAGCAGTCCATGCTATTCTGGTGGATGCCATCAAACCTCATATCCCATGCCTCCGTACCAACCCCTACGGGAAGAAGGTTCTCTCTGCAATTAGCTTGAAGAAATGATCCACAGGTACGACCCAATATCTTCGAACCCTCCTGCTGATTTCCAGGATTGATCAATTCTGACCACCCGGTACCTTTGATCTCTTGCCATTGCAGACGGTACCATCTTGCACTTTGGTAAGTATCCTGTAAATCTATGTAATAAAAAGCTTTTTACTGGGTTTGGTTTGAAGATTCAAAAAGAAGAATAAGAAGAAGAAGAAAGATGGTTTGCTGCATATGTGCAGAAATTTGAGGGAAAACTACAATCTCCTGTCATTTTCTTTTGGTTGTGTTGTTCGAGGTTGTCGGGCTCCATCTTCCTCCTCTTTCCTGGCAAGATCCAATTCTTTTTTTTTGTTTAACACGAGGATTCCGTGTTATGTTATGTAGAACATCAGATTCTATTGGAGATCAGTTAAAATCATAATCTAGATTACCCATCAGAACAGAAACAAAATCTGTTCATCAACATGGGTAACAGCTTCCGCAGAAACCCATTTCGAGAAAAAGGTATCTTTGTATTAAAAAACCCTTTTTGTGTGTGGGGGCAAAATCTTGATGGGAGAAGAGATGTTTACAAAGGTACAACAAGATCGGTGAAGAAAAGCTTCATCCGTTGGCCGAGGGGACAGGTCGGGGCTTGTCGGGAACAGCCTCCAGACCGATGTTCCCACGACCCTGGAGCTGGGAACAGCCCATGACGCAGGCGTAGCCGCAGTTCCCCGGCGTTGCGCCGCTTATTTTTGTACAGATGGGCATGCATTCCTCAATACACAACGGCAACGCCTTCTCTCCCTTCGGTGCGTCCTGTCCACGCGCCACCGTTGCAGCCGATGCCAGAACCGCCATTGTTATCGCGGCCAAGGTCAGGGTTCTGCTCCGGTGATTCATTCTTCTCTCTCTCTCTCTTTCTTGTCTCTGGTGTTTTTACAGATGATAAGCTTCAATGGGGAGAGAAAAAAGCTGGTTGCTTGGGTGAGAAGGAAAAGGGTTTGAAGAAATCAGCGCCATTGGGATGGATGGTCACGAGGCAGCCATGGTGGTTTGACTTTCTTTTTTCTTTTTTACTTTTTAAAAAAATACTATTTCTTTCTTCAAAAACCTGTATATATGTTATGAATGATGATGGCATGATGGACTACGACCATCATCCATAACAGGTCAACGTCTGGCCTTGAGCTCGTAGAAGGATTCCGCCATTACTGATCTTGATGAAGCCCATCATCAAGCTTGTTGAGGATTTCTGGGTTCTGATCCCAAAAGGAATTCAATCAGACGTTGAATGCTTGTCAATGGTTTATATAACCCATCAATTTTTAAAGATAAATTAAAGTTATAAATATTTGGGTTATATCAATTTTTTTACAACCACGGTTCGACCCCCCACTGGGCAATCACCTAATACCAAAAAAGGGGATCTCCCCCAGCTCTGTTGGTTTGAGAGCTCACTTTCTGAACAAGAGGTCGTGGGTTCAACACCCAGGGTATGGAGATTTTCCCTCCGGCCACCTTCGGGTGTTTCACATCCCACACGTGTGGTGCCGGTTGTACGTGTGGGTCGGGATTAGTCTGGGCCCTTTGGACCTAGGATTACCCGGTTATCAAAAAAAAAAAAAAAAAAAAATTTTTTACCAGGGAAAAAACATATTTCCAGCTTTAAATCAGTATGACGATGATTGTAATTAGGATAATTGCTGACGTGGGCATTCACACATGCATGCATTATATAAACTTAAGTTCAATATTATATGATTAGAGAAAAAGAAAAAAGGTGATTAACGAGGATGATGGCGTAATTAGTTATAAATTGAGGGAAAAAAACATACAGCTACAAATGGGCCATCTTTAGTTTTGACAAATGTTATATAATTTATATTACTTTATATATTGTTAATGATAATGTCACTAACCGGCCTATAATATTGGTCTAATAGACTATAACGCATCACTTTTTTAAAAGAGAAAAAGGAAAATCTTTTTTTTTTAATATATCACCTTTATTTATTTAATATTATTTCGCCACAAAGAAGAATATATGCTGAAACTCCGTACATCATCGTTGTAATATCTTTAGATAATATATTATTCGAATCGGGATTAGTCTGGGCCCTTTGGACCTAGGATTACCCGGTTATCAAAAAAAAAAAAAAAAAAAAATTTTTTACCAGGGAAAAAACATATTTCCAGCTTTAAATCAGTATGACGATGATTGTAATTAGGATAATTGCTGACGTGGGCATTCACACATGCATGCATTATATAAACTTAAGTTCAATATTATATGATTAGAGAAAAAGAAAAAAGGTGATTAACGAGGATGATGGCGTAATTAGTTATAAATTGAGGGAAAAAAACATACAGCTACAAATGGGCCATCTTTAGTTTTGACAAATGTTATATAATTTATATTACTTTATATATTGTTAATGATAATGTCACTAACCGGCCTATAATATTGGTCTAATAGACTATAACGCATCACTTTTTTAAAAGAGAAAAAGGAAAATCTTTTTTTTTTAATATATCACCTTTATTTATTTAATATTATTTCGCCACAAAGAAGAATATATGCTGAAACTCCGTACATCATCGTTGTAATATCTTTAGATAATATATTATTCGAAACTCCTAATATACGACCATGGACGGTAATTATGGCATGTGAAGTGAGACCCATTTTCACAAATTAATTAGAGATGTTATTTGTATTATTTTTAAAATAATATTAGAATACAAGACCGCATTCATTTTGGAGACGCGTACAAAATTTTTAACGGTTTATAATTTAAAGTTTGGATCTTTTTTGTTTTATTCTGACAAAAAAAAAGAGTTTGAAATTAATGGAGGCACAAAAGCTGAGAGGGAGAAAGTGACGAGAAAAAAGGGTGAGAGAGAGAAAGTTGAGCCTTTTCATCATCAATGAGAGACCCACTCCCATGAAGTTGCGGCAGCAGCAGCACTACTGGTGGTAAAAGGTGGCACCTTTCTTAAACTGCACATCAAGGGTGCGTAGGGCAAGCGAAGCCGGCAAAAAGCTGTCTTATTCTCTTGGTTTTTGGCGGAGGATGGCGGCGGCGCTTTGTAGCAAGGGAATGGTCTCGAAGGGTTTTCTGGTTTGGTTCTGCTTATGGGGACTGCTCTCGCTAACATGCGCGGCGAGGTTCGGTGTTTCAAGGCAGAATTTTGAGGTGCAGAAGCATTTGAAGCGCTTGAACAAACCAGCCGTTAAAAGCATTCAGGTTTGGATTTTCCTTTCTTCTTTGTTTTTTACTACATTTTCAAATTTTGTTCCTTTTTGGGTTTGTTTGGTTGCTGGGAAAGTGCGGGAAAGTTTTTTTCTTTCATTGTAGAAAAGTTTTAACCTTTGGTGGAGCGCTACCTAGAGCTTATGGGTGTTAAAATTTCCGATGGGTTCTAAAGTTATCAGCCGTTAAAACTCTCATACCATATATGAGAACCCTAAATGCAGATTTTAGTATTCTTCTGAATGTTTTCCCCTTCTCTTCTAGTTTCCAGGAAAATTCATTCGTGCAGATATTGTTTGATAGTTTGGTAAGAAACTGCAGAAAGTTGAGAACTTATTGTTAGTTTTGGTTGGGTGAAATCTCCTCTTCTTCCCTTGTTATTTTGGATTTATTATCTGTCATCATGTAAATTTCAATCGGACACAGCAAAGAGCTTTACTCATGAAACTTAAACTTAGGAATTGTTCTTGATATTTCAACAGAGCCCAGAAGGGGACGTGATAGACTGTGTTCACATATCCAAGCAACCAGCTTTTGATCATCCCTTCCTCAAGGATTACAAGATTCAGGTTTTGTATCACTTTTCCTCTTCGCATTCCCATCTTGATATTTAATTGCATTTTCCTTGGTAACTTGTCTGCCTTGTCGAATGTTGTTCTTGTTTTCAACAGATGACGCCGAGTTATCACCCCGAACGGATGTTTGACAAGGAAAAAGTGTCTGAAAAAACGAGTGAGAGAACAAATTCTATCACCCAGTTGTGGCACCAAAATGGGAAGTGTCCTGAAGGAACAGTACCTGTTAGGAGGACCAAGAAAGAGGATGTCCTGAGGGCGAGTTCCGTGAAACGATATGGCAGGAAGAAACATCGTTCTGTCCCTCAACCTCGTTCTGCTGACCCTGATCTTGTCAACCAAAGCGGTCACCACGTAGATCACTTCTCTCACTTGTCCAAATATGTCTAGCAGGGCTTTATCTTGGTGGTCTACTTCATTGAATCAGTTCTTAACCTATGTGAGCTGGACCATTTCGTTGATTCTTGTTCCAAAATTTCCCTGTTTTTCTTGTACTCTGGTCTGGCTCTTGCGGGCAACTAGCATGCAATAGCATATGTCGAAGGAGGCAAGTTTTATGGAGCAAAGGCGACCGGAAACGTGTGGGAACCCAAAGTACAAAGCCCTAATGAATTCAGCTTGTCTCAGCTATGGATTCTTGGCAGTGCTTTTGGTCAAGATCTCAACAGCATTGAAGCCGGTTGGCAGGTAAAACTCGAGTGTTATAGCATTGAATTCCGTTACCTGTCTTGATAAGTTAAACTATTTGATGAACACAAAACATATTACGGGATATCTTGCATGAATTCATTAGGGCTTCATAAACATGGGTAGGATCAGATGACGAGAAACCTGGAGGGAGCTTCATAAACACCTCCTCAGTTAAATCCCCGTGAAGAAAAGCGTTGTGAACATCCATTTGGTGTACCGGCCAGTGACGGGCTGCAGCAATAGCAAGATAGGTTCGGACCGTGACCATCTTAGCTACCGGCGCAAATGTTTCATCATAATCAATACCTTCCGTCTGTCGATTGCCCATAATAACCAGTCGAGCTTTGTAACGTTCCACAGTACCGTCGGAGCGATATTTGATTCGAAATATCCATTTTGACCCAATCGCACGCTTGTTAGGCGGCAAAGTTTCCAATGTCCATGTTCCATTCGATTGTAAAGCCTTGATTTCCTCTGTCATGGCAAGACGCCATCGTTCGTCTTGGACAGCCTCCTTGTAAGTTCTCGGTTCATGATGTGTTGTGACAGCAGCAAGGAACTTTCGGTATGGCTGAGAGAGATGATCATAAGAGAGGAAATCAGCAATAGGAAAGTTTGTCGATGGGAGAGGAGTTGTACCCGGATGAGGCGGAGCTGGTGCTGAGTGAGCAAAATTTGTGACAAAATCCCGGAGTCGAACATTTTGGAATTTTTGTCGCTGACCTTTTCCCATATCTGCTGGTGGAGAGACTAACTCAGGACTGGGAACAGAGGAGGCAACACCATCACTAGCAACAGGATTGCTGAGAACGTGGGCGGGGCTAGTTGCTTCACCGGAAAAAGGATCCACGACATCACCGGCAACTATAGAACCCCCCCTAGCCGATGAGGTATCCGATGGAGAGATGTGATCAGAAACCACTGGCGCCAATGGTGCCGGTGTGACAGTCGCTGTCGGAGCAGAGTTGAAAGTCCGAAAAATCTCCTGTTCATTGTCATCAACCCATGGATTATCCAGAGGTGGCATAGGCGAATTCTTCGACTGTTCCAAAACAGAATTTCTGTAGGGGAATTCATCTTCAATAAAAATCACGTCACGAGATACTATAAATCGTCGGGTGTCGAGGTTGAAAACCCGCCACCCTTTTTGTCCTAAAGGATAACCGAGAAATATGGAGCGAGAACTTCGAGCGGCAAATTTGTCTCCTCCCCTATTCTGGTTATGAACATAACAGAGGCAGCCGAAAATTCGTAGATGCTCGTATTTCGGTACCTGGCCGTGAATTAGCTCGTATGGGGTTTTTCCATCGAGAAGGAAAGATGGTGTGCGGTTAATCAAGTAGGCGGCTGTGAGAACGCTCTCACCCCAGAAGTCGACGGGAAGTTTGGCCTGGAAAAGTAGAGCACGAGCCACGTTAAGAATATGACGGTGCTTGCGCTCAACTCGTCCATTTTGCTGGGGAGTTCCAACACAAGACGTTTCATGTAGAATCCCCTTTTCCGAGTAGTAATCACGTAGACTAACAAATTCTGCTCCATTATCCGAACGAATTGTTTTAACAATGGCTCCGAATTGCCTTTCAACCATTGTAACAAAGTTTCGTAGATGATGTTGAGCTTCATTTTTACTGGTTAACAAAAATATCCAAGTCCCTCTGGAAAAATCATCTACGATTGTCAAGAAGTATTTCGCTCCGGATAGAGACGGTTGTCGATACGGACCCCATATATCACAGTGGATCAAATCGAAAATGGTCGATGCTTTGTTAATACTCAAGGGAAAGGACTCGCGAGTCTGTTTCGCGCGGAAGCAAACATCGCAAGCTTTATTCGCAGAACAATTGCCAGAGGAAACAACAAAATCAGAAATTTTTGCCAAAACTTTAGACGACGGATGACCAAGACGTTTGTGCCACAGATCGAACGACTGCGAGGTCGTAACCCGAGTTGCTGCCACTGCCTTGGATCCCCGGAAATAGTACAGCCCAGCAACTTGTTCACCCGCTCCAATCATCATCTTGGAAATGCGGTCCTGGATAACACAGAAATTGTGAGCAAACGTCACGAAACAACCAGAAGCTGCCGACAACTGAGAGACTGAAATCAGATTGCAATGCAGTCCCGGTACATAGAAGACATCAGATAGACGAAGAGATCCCGTGAGCAAAACAGATCCCGAAAAAGCCGAGAGAACCTGTCGGCCATCCGGTAGTGTAACGGAGCAGGGAGACATCGGATTAACAGCAGTTAAGGCCGACAGATTTCCCGTCATGTGCTGAGAGCATCCTGTATCAATAATCCAAGAGGTGATCGAGATCTTACCAGATAATATTTCAGTTGCAGCGCCTGTCTGAGCATTAAGCATCGCCATCAAGGAATGCCACTGCTCCTGTGTGATTCCAGTAGTAATATTCTTATCAGCTTCTGATACAGGATTGACGATCGGAATATTATGAACTTGAGCAGCATTGGCGTGAGCAACATTGGGTCGAGCTCCAGTACCCCTGCCACGACCTGGATTGTTCGGAAATGCAGCATTCCCACGACCACGACCAGCTCCTTGTCTATTCCGCGGCCTATCCCCCCACCATTCCGGAAATCCGATTAATTGGAAACATCCATCAGCCAAGTGACCAGCACGTCCACAGTTTGTGCAGATCATCGATTTGTCAGCAGGAGTTGGGCGAGATTTCTGTCCAGCAATGACAGAAAATGCTGCAATGTCAGGTCGGTCATCATTCGAGTAAGAATTCTGTTTGGAATCTTCCTCCTGAGTGACCAAATTATAGGCCTCTTCTAGGCTCGGGAGTGGCTGTCGCGACAGCAAACTTGATTTCACCGTGCCATATCGAGTTTCATCAAGACCCAGGAGAAATTCGAACAAGCGATCCTCTGTACGCTCTGCTTCTAGCTTCTCCGCAATGTCGCAGCTGCACTTTCCGCAAGTACAGGTTTTTAGAGTCCGGAAATTGGCTAGATCATCCCACAATTTCGTCAATTTCCCGAAATATGCTTCCACCGTCATTCCAAGTTGTCGACAATTCGCAAGATCACTCCGGATCTTGAGAAGACGAGGAGCATTAGTTTTTCCGAATCTTCGTTTCAAGTAATCCCACAAATCGCTGGCATACTCTCGGTGGACGACATCCGATCGCAAATGGGGTTCGAGAGTATTCTTAATCCAAGATACAATAAGCGCGTTATTTGTATCCCAATCTTCGAAGTCTTCGGAAGCAGCCGGTGGTTTTGCGATGGAGCCATCGACGAAACCAAACTTCTTGCGAGATTTGAGAGCTTGGCGAACATTGATGGACCATTCATCAAAATTCTCTCCACGCAGCAACGGTTGTGACAAAACAAGGCCGGGATTGTCACTTGGAGTTAAATCATACGGTGATATGGTGCGTCGCTGAACCATAACAGAGTCGGGAGTCGGTGTCGATCGAGGTATCGCCGCCTGGGGAACAACAGGCGGAGTCGAGGTCGGGGTTCGGTCGGTATGCGTGTCAGAAGACATGGTGTCGAGGAATCAAATCGGAGAAAAATAGGGTAGAGGCTCTGATACCATAACACGTATCAGACCGAGAAAGAACCGAGAATCAACTTGCGTTCTCATTCACGTATGCAACAGTATATATACATGAGGAAATCAGACATTGAAACCTAGATACGGAATTGGAAAATAGCAAACACAATCTGTACAATATCTGGCAGTTACCATATCGTTGTGATCCCGCATATTCATGCAAGATATCCCGTAATAAAACAAGCCAGCCCAGATTTGTATGCTGATAACCACGCGAGGCTTTTCACGTACTGGACGGTAAGTTTGTTGAACTATTTCTGCAATTTTCTTCAGTTTCTCATTTCTAGTCTATGTTTTGTTAAATCAGGTTAAAAGGGCTTAAGGAATTTCTTTTGCTTGAACATATTAACAGAGCGATGCATATCAAGCTACTGGCTGCTACAATCTCCTTTGCTCGGAATTTATACAAATCAACAGTGAAATAGCCATGGGAGCCAAGCCAACATTTCTCCGGTATCTGGCCTTCGTAGCCCTCAGTATGATATTAGTATACTCATCTGGAAGGTAAAACGATCTCCATCTTTGAACACTTCACCATTATCTTGCCACATAAAAACAACGTTTCTTTTTCAGGGACAGTCTTGATAAGTTGAGCTTTTTCCTCTGAGACATCTCTTCCTGATCATACGCCAATTTGTCATCTTTCTACCATATTTCACAGTTTACACACTCACCCACCCACAAAGCTTAAAACTGTTACCGAGAAAATGGATTCCCTTTTAAATTTTTTGACGGGATGATGCTCTGTAAACACGAGTAATGCATTGAAACCCTTTACTTGTAGGATCCGAAAGAAGGGCACTGGTGGATGCAATTCGGGGATGGCTATGTTTTAGGTTACTGGCCGTCTTTTCTCTTCTCGTACTTAGCAGAGAATGCATCCACTATCGAGTGGGGAGGAGAAGTGGTGAATACAGAAGCAGACGGCCACCACACTTCCACAGAGATGGGAAGTGGTCGGTTCCTGGTGAAGGCTTTGCCAAAGCGAGCTACTTCAGGAACATTCAAGTGGTTGGCCATTCCAGTACTCTAAAAGCGCCTAAAGGGCTCAATGCCTTCACTGAGGAATCCAACTGGATGATGTTCAGATAGGTAAGAACGATGACTGGGGCCATTACTTTTACTATGGAGGACCAGGTAGAAACCCTAATTGCCCGTGAAAAACACCATGGACGAAGATAAGAAACAGAAGAAATAAATATTTCTTTTTTTTTTTTCGGGTTTTCTTCATCAATGTGAAATATCTTCTTTTGTAGATGTTATTGTTCTTGGGTCTCTAGGTTTCTGGCCGGTAGGTTAGCATAATGTGATTCAACTGAATGGAAAGTTTTGGTTATCTTGGTTCTTGACTTGCAAGCAAAGTTCTTGTTGAGTGTTAGCAAAGTTATGTATTTTGGTTTGTTTAACCTGTTTTTTGGTTTTACCTCTAATCTTATCTTACGGCTCGGCATTTCGGTTCGGTCAGAACCGAACCGTTAAAACGGTATTTTTTCCGACCTGAAACTGTTGTTATTTTCCGAACGGTACCATTTTTAGAGAACCGAATTTTTCCAGAACCGAACCGAATCAAACCAAACTTTAAAAATCCCGAAAAATCGAATATTTTTAAAGAAAATCTATCATTTTTATAATAAAACCCGGAACCAAACCGAACCGAACCGAATACAATAAAAAACCCGATTGGTATTTATTTTTGTAAAACCGAAAGAACCGAACCGATCCATTCCGTCCTGAAACCGAACTGTTTTCCGAAACGTCCACCCCCTATCTTATCTTATCAGGATGATCAAAACATTTGGTGTCAATCGGAGTCTTTCATACGGCCCGTTTCTATTTTTAACCATTTGCACAAAAAAAGTATAATTCATTTCTATTTAACGTATATTTAGAAGACTCACTCGGATATTATTATTTTTTTTATTTCTATCTATTTTTTCATTATTGATCGTAATCGATCTGTTTATTATATTAGATGCGTGCACATTTTTTTTAATACAATAATAAGGTTTAAAGTGAGCAAAATGAAATTCTTACGAGATCTTGATGGGCTGGGCTGAATTTCGGTTTCTATGGGCTTTATAAGCCCATAACTTAGGCTTCGTTTACAAGAATCAATCATCCAGCTCAGTAAAACGGCATCGTTTTCGGGAGAGACGTATAAACCCTGTAGATCAAAAACCATCAACTGTACCACCGAGAAAAAACACAGTTTCCGTACGAGAGAGAAGAGAATGATACTGCAACAGAGCAAGAGAATCTCTCGATCTCTCTTCTTCTTCTTCCTCGATTCGACTTCTCGGAGAACCTTGACGACTACTTCACGTTATTGTTTGAACCGTTCAGTGTTGTCACCGCTTCGTTATGGGATTGGGATCGCCAGCGACGGCGAATCTCGCCGGCAATCGTATCTGCTCGACTCCCTGTGGTCGACCGTCCAACGGCGCGGCGTTAAAGTTAACGCGATACAGGTATTCGTGTAATCTGAGCCTCAGGAAATCGAATTCTTATTGGAGACTTAATGATGTGATCAGTATCGTTGAGCTCGTTGTGTTGTACTATCTGCAAATGCGAATTAGAGAAAATTTTGAACAGTCTCCCTCGCGTCGAATCCGAAATTTCAATCTGTGGGCTTTCCTCTAGATGTTGAATTTTGATAAATTGGCTCAATTTGAGTTTTGGTTGAGTTGTTGTTCGCGTTCGGTATGGTTGTACTGTTATGGTATTTCGGTTGAACCGTAGTATGGTCTATTGTTGGCGTTCTTATGCATTTGTCTCGGAATTTTTCAGCTAAGGGCAGGGAATGTAATTGAAAGATCAGGTTGGTGCTGAGATTCTATTCGTTGAACAAAATTCGGAAACCCCTTTCCCTTGGTTGATGTAAGCTAACAAGATTCATATTTTGATATCAAATCTGGACCATACTACTACTTCAGGGCGTACTTTCAGGGTAAGTATTTTTGGGTCTCTTCTTCAGTGTGTTTTTCAGCGCTAGATGTAGAGAAACATAGAAATTTGAGAGATCCTTTCTTCACTTTTATAACTATCTGCTTAGGTTGTCGGAGCAGAACACAAGCAACAAGGTAGAGGAGGAGCCTCCATTCAGGTGTGCACATTTGAAACTGTTCTTCCGTCCTAAACTTTGTTTTTACTTTGAAATTACTCCAAGGCTTTTTGCAAACAGTTGCGTAATGAATGTTTTGGAGACTTAGGAACTCCTTGTTTAGAAATTCAATTGTTATTATTTTTTCCCGAGGGAGGTCCTGCCCAGATCATGGTCTACATGATCAGAGATGAGGCCCAACAAACTAGAATTCTGGAACCAGAGACCTCTAAAATCTTCAAACGTTAAGAAATGGTTCCTTGGATCCGATTAATACAAACAATTGGATTGGATTTGGATTGAAACTTTCTTTGCCTTAACCTCTGCCACTTGGCAATCAACAGTCTGTTGTTTTGATCTAATTTCCTCATCTTTCTTTCTTCTGCAAAGTTACCCTGTTTCGGAGCTTCAACATTTGCACCTTCTTTTTTCTCTGAGGAAACAGGTAGAGCTTCGGGATGTTGACAATGGAAGCAAAGTTAACTTACGGTTTGGATCTGAGGAGTCTGTTGAGAGTAAGTTGATTTATTTCGTTGCACTCTTGCATTATTCCGTGTATGAACATTTCCCTTTAGAAGAACATAAACTGGATGATAGCTGGAATTTATTCTTTATCAGAAAAGTTCTTTTTCCTTGTTATTTATTATTCAATCCGATTCCAACTAGTTTCTACTTGGTTATTACTAAAATTTTTGGTCCTATAACTTTGCTTACATTTATTGCAGAAGTGTTTGTCCAGGAGAAATCTTTCACATGTCTATATACAGAAGGAAATACCGTGTTCCTTATCGAGTGAGTACATTTTGTGTAGTCTCTTTCCCGTCGACAGTT